TCGGGTGGGGGACCCCGACCAGCCTCTCTTCTCTCTCCTCGCCCGAACACCCGTGACCGGCCTCCCTCGGTGGGAGAGGAGAGACCCACGTAGTAGTGCCGGTGGCCGCTAGTACTATCGGAGAAAGTGAAACCGGCACGCTACTTCACAGCCACTGGTTGGTTGGTGCCGAGTGGCCGGAGGAAGGAAGAGCGCAGAATGCGAAAGTCCATGTGGATCGACAAAGGCCCCCGGTTCCTATCTGACTGGGGCGCATTGTAGCTCGAGGCTGGGTTGGCCTGAACTGGTCTTGACTCCTGGTATACTCCTGCGCACGATGTCCCCAGGGATGACCTTGTCGTAGAGTCATGTCGGCACGGACCCTACGGGTCGATCACGTACGAGCTATTACTCGCCTTCCTCTTCGACGACGTCCCGATGTCGGCCCTCGGGTCGGCTCGTACCTCCTCGTGCAACCTCGGCCCGTTACCTTGAATACCGGCTGCTCATCTTCGTGCAAGACCACTCGTTCGTCAAATTGTCCATCGTTGCACGCTTTTTACGTCTCTTGGTACCTCGGCACATCCGTATGCCGCGCAGAGGCATCGCCACTGGAACAGCAAGATAACGGACGAGCTAACGTTAACCAGAATCGCCGGTTAAACCCACCTCGACTCTCCCCAGTCATCACTTTTAGGAACGCATTCAGGGTTTAGTGTACGCTACGAAAATGTCCCGTGGTCACTGACCTCGCGCACGTCCGTCCCGACGTCGGGCGTCGGCGCATAAATCCCCCATCGAGCAATGCGCCTCACTGGGTGACCTCTGTCCCTCCGGTTCATGAAAAATACAACGCGCCACGTTGCGTCGTCGAGACTTCCGGATGCCATTGCGAGGCGTTCTCGAATTTCGAAATACCGGAAGTCGTAATGCAAATGCGTTCGTTAATCGTATGGCCGCTACGTTTCGTGATAATATTAACTGACAATGAGGTACGTTCGGTTCGACTTCCATAACTCGGCTGTCTCTGGAGAGATTATCTGTCTATCTACATTGTCTAGGAAAGAGCTAGATTTTTTTTTTTTTTTTTTTTTTTTTTTTTTTTGGGGGTTTTT